ATATATATATATATGATTCATTTCTGCTTTTTTTTAACAGACAAATATGCAGATTTTATAGATGCCAATAGAAAAGAAGATCCTGTTGAACGTCTGAAAACACTGAAGAGACTGGTAAGCTGAAATCAGGTGTGCTGTAGGTGCACTACAAAATCAGCATTAAATGTTTAATGTTCTGAATAGTGATTGTTTGTTTCAGATTCATGATTTACCTGAACATCATTATGAGACTCTCAAGTTTCTTTCTGCACACCTGAAGACAGTAGCAGAGAACTCGGAAAAGAACAAGGTATCAGAAACACAAGTATAATGTATTTTGGCTTGTTTCACTCATTAAGTACAGTTTTTGTGCAGGATTATGTCTATTAAGGTGATAATTTATTATTGTAGATAAAATTAAGACCTTTGCTATGTTGAGAAGATTTTTGGATTAGACTAAGGACTCCTACAAAATATGCACCTGTTTAGTGTGAATTACGTTTATTCAAACTGGTATTAATTCTTGTGGGAGTAACTGCTTACATCTTAAGTTCATCCCAAGTCTGTAGATTTCATGTAATCCCATCTAGACACCGATGAGAGTGTGCCTGGGCAGGGCACAGGTGAATGTCTGTGGCCTGAATGAACCTGTTGACAGAGGCTGTTGCACCAGCTTTGTGTGAAGCCTGGCTTCCTGGAAGCTTGAGAAATTTTTAAGACTAGGACTTGCTGTAATCACTTGAATGGTTGATGACCCTGTACATGCTAGTTTGACTGGTTTTAAGAAAGAGAATTCATGTTGTAAAGGGTGGTAGTTCACCACTACAGGGTCTTAGTCCACCACTAAGAGTAGCTTTTTGTAATTTCCATGGGGTTGGGAAGAGTTAGTTTGCATTAAGTGCTTCTGTGCATGCTATAGTCCTACAGTAAATGCAAATAACAGTATCCCCTTTTTTCACCTCTCATGGAGGGGTAGCTGAATGCAAAGCTGTGCACAATATGTGTGTGCTTATGGATGCTTACCTCAGGGCAGGTAACATGGTGGCTTGTTACTTGGCTACCAATGTGCAGGGCACAGGAAAAGAATTGATGTGATTGCTATATAAAGGAACATATGGCCAATCCTAAATCATTTAAAAGATCAGAAAATTACTCAGTTCAAATGAATATGGTAGGTTCCAACATCAGTTCTGCAAATAATACCTTCTAGTTAAATATGAAAGAAAAATATGTATGTGTGTGTGTACATAAAAAGCATTTAACAAATTACAACCTTTAGTGGAATTATAGCTGACATTATAAGGAAATTATAGTAAATGTAATTTTTAAGTGCAATGCCTAAAGTAAGCCTTTATTTATAATTTATGGTTTTGGTGTGCTGTATAAATGTTGTTTAAATAATGTTAATATCAAATAAATAAGGCTAGATGAGCAAGGTGATAATTATAATTGTATGACTTGTCATACAATTCAAGTCAAAGTGAGCATTAGGGGCTTGTGTCATTATGTTTGCAACCTTGCCTCCTATACGTTACTGGTTTATTCTATGTCACAACAGTAAACTGTAAGTCAGAGAAGTAAGCAAAAATAGAAGGTAAGGATTCTGCTGCTGCTTTCTTGGAATTATTTGTCGGAGATGTAACGTTAAAAGTAAATTAAGTGGATTAATGTTGTGACATGATCGGATAACTCTTGAGTCTCTCGTGAATAGATGTGTTGGGTCTATGATGTTGGTTGCTGCCGCCTCCTCCAAAGTAGCTGCATTGAATGAGCTCTTTGTCAGTAGACATAATACAGTATTTGATTACCAGCTTAATTTTTTCATGTGTCATGTAAACATTTCAAGGGAAAAAAAACAGGGAACTACCAATGCCTTTTTATATTTAAAAAAAAAAAAAAAAAAAAGACCTTAAAACGTCAGTGTTTCTAAAAAAAAAAACCCAATCTTTAGGGGAAGAAAAAAAATTATCCCTGAAAGTCTAAAGAATATATTTGAGTTCCTGAGTTTTCTGTGCTTGTGGAGCTATTTACTTGCAATGGGTTAAGGAAGGTTGAATTCTGAATTGCAGAAATGTATAGCAGAGTTGCAGCTGCGTATAGGAGAGTTTTAGTGTAGTGTAACGTCCTGAGTCAGTAATGTGTTTTTTAAACCTTTTTTTGTTCTTATTTAAAATGGTTCTCAGATATTAATAATGTTATATTAATGTACTTAGCCCATATTATTGTGTTTTCTCATTATAAATGCATGATGTGGAAATATTTCATTTCTTAGATGGAACCAAGAAACCTGGCAATAGTATTTGGTCCAACACTTGTGAGGACATCTGATGATAACATGACACACATGGTTACGCACATGCCAGACCAATATAAAATTGTAGAAACACTCATCCAAAAAGTAAGTGGATGCATTTCATTATTTAAAAAAATAAGATGGTAAACAGGCCGACCATCTTTTCTTTTATTGGGCCAGTTTGGGTCTGGTGTTTATTCTTCGAACTCCAGGATATCGTTTTTAGTAATGTCCATGTTTGATTGTTCCACATTTGGGTTTTGTGTTTCCTGTGGGGTTTTCACCTTTCTTATTTTAAATTGTAGCATGACTGGTTTTTCACAGAAGATGATGCTGAAGAACCTCTTGTAAGTATTGTGTCATAAATATTTGTGTTCTAATTACCTTAGTTTAGAATCTGCTTCTGCTGCCTCTAGAATGTCTATATATTTCTTAGTACATCACTGTATGGTTTGCTCTTCAGAAGCACCTTTTTAGCTCTCCAGTCCTTGCAGTAATGAATTTCAAAAAAAAAAAAAAAGCCACGCACTTGTTTTAAAAGCATAAAGCAAAATGGGAAAATAAGAACACGTGAGGAAAGCGTGTGCTCAGGTGAATAATGCAATTTTCTAAATGCTGTTGAATCGTAATGAACTATTTGTGAAACGATGATGAAGAGATCTTTGTTTATTAACTATAGACAACAGTTCAGGAGGAAAACACTGTAGAATCTCAGCCAGTGCCAAACATAGATCATTTACTCACCAACATTGGAAGAACGGGAGTATCTCCTGGAGACGTATCAGGTAACTCTTGCCTGGACAGTGTTAGTCCATAGGCTAGAATAACCTACTCTGTTAACTCACTGTAACTCTCTCTTCCTATTTTCTTTTACTAATAAACTGTTTTTCTCTTTTTCCAAAAGATCATTAACACTTCCTAAAGACTTGAATTGTTGATAATCATGCATGATATAATTTGGAAAACTTTGTTGTCTAACAGAAATACAATCATCAGAAGATGAGGCTTGCACATACTATTTTATTTGTTCACAGTAACCCATGCAATCATCATCGTAAGGTGAAGCAGATATGCTGCTGTAAAGTGGTTTGTTGTGATGGCAGAAAGACTGATCTTCAGTGGTGTTCTAATATTGCTCCTTCCCAACGTTAGGAATGCAAAAACTTGAGTTATGTTTTCTTGTCAAATGATGGACACTTTAATAAGTATGTTGCAGTATGCCTATACTAAAGCTGATTTCCTTCTGTTTATAAATGCCATCCTCTTTTGTGGCTAAGGACAAGCATTGCAGGCTCTTTTTTGGTGACTTTTTTCCCTCCTCCCTTCACTATACTATTGCACTAACCTAGCATGTTGTATCCCACAAATGTTATCCCTTCGTCTCTAGCTTTTGTTTCAGTTTTCAAAGGGTTGTTCCGCACTTACTGAAACAGTCATTTTATACTGATGTTGTAACAGGCGAAGTGGGAGGAGTCTATCACACGGTGATGTCATTAGTGGATTCTGTGATGTCACTGATGGACAGCTGGAACTGTAGGAAGAAGGAGGACTGTTGCCCACACTGTAGCTGCCTTGTCTGCAGAAACCCCCGTTTCTTGTAAATGGAAAGAAAAAAAAAAAGTTGATCTGTGCTGTAAATTTTCTTTTAAGAGTATTTTAAACAGATCAATGCTACTTTTTAAAAGTTTTTCTGCTGTTTCTTGTTATCTCTGAAGCAGACCCTGAGGAGAAATAGCATGGTATGGTCTACCAGTCTTTCTAGTCATAAAGCATTAGCCATGTGTCAAAAAGGGGTGTGGCAGGGGGCTCAGCTCTTTCTTCCTAGGGAGAAAGTCCCTAAAGCTGGAACACATCCAGGTTCATATTTTTTAGTCATTGTGCTAGCCCCTTCCTACCCCCTTTATAATTGTATAATCTTGGGTTTTGCGAGACAGTGAAACTATGGTGTCCATTTTTCATTTCATAATAGCGCTTGTTATAGTAAAGTACAAAACTGGTAGCTGCTGAAATCCAGCCAATTTAAAAATAAAATTTTACCTATACGTAGTCAGAGGTGGAGAGAGATGTATAATTGGGGTTTTACACACAAAATATGACTTAATTCCTTTAAAACCTCACAAAAAGAATACGACTACATGAACCATGATTTGTACCTAGGGCAGCCAACAGTACTAAGACATTCAATTTTGCTTTGTGTATCCTGAATCTCAGGAGACTACACAGTATGATCCTGAAAAGGTCTCTCAGCTGCGGTTTTGCAGGGGCTGTATACTTAAAACATCGAGTAAACATCAGTATTTCTGGTTTTTATTTAGAAGAACAGGGCTCCTTTGCCATTCCTATCATTGAGCTGGTTCTGCCTACAATTCACAGCATCCTTTCATGGCGGTGGCTTTCTGTGGTGCAGCTTGCATCTTTGTGAGCTCTGACTATTCACTCTGTTCTGGTTTTTATTTGCTTCACATTTTGTTCTGTGCTTGTCTTTTTCCATAAGTCCAGCATTGTCTGTAGCAACAACGAAAAAGTTACACAGAACTGAGCAGAATTGTTTTTTTAATTTTTCCACAGATTCAGCTACTAGTGACTCAGCAAAATCTAAGGTAAATCAATTTGTGAAATGATGTAGTTATAAGCTGCTGAAATGTTATGTATTTTCTTGCTGTATTAAAACACTTATATACAGATGTACTATAGAGATTATGTAAAATTTTTTGAATAAGTGATAATACTGTTTTCTCATAAAATAATTTCAGTGTTACATTGGAAAAGTATCACTTGTTTGCAGTTAGCTACATCTGCCAAAAAAGTCAGCTGTATACATAAACAACTTTGTTCCAAACTCTTGTAAATGTGAGCGCCTATCTCCTTTTTGCATCTCATTTAGTAGAGGTAAATGTATATAGTATGTTCCCTGTTATTGTGGGCATACTACTTACTCCCAGACAGTATTTGTGTTTCCCTGTTTCACTGAGAAAAGTATACGTAGAGTTTAGCCTTTTCTTCCTCAGAAGGTAATAGCTCCTCCTCTTATAGGAAGCCAAAGGTTGTGGTTAATGGTTGCTATGCAAAACCTGCCTAGGAAGTAATTGCTGTTCTTGGGAGGACAAGCCTAGTAGATACGGGGGGAATAAGACTGGAACATGGGCAATAGTTCTGTCCTCAGTTTAACGCCAGAGTTCTCATCTGAGCCATGGACAAATCTTTCAGTCTCTTAGGCTGTTGTTCAGTAGTTGCTAACATTGGATATCTGTACCGCTGGGGATACCGCAGCATGCAGCTGACCTCAGTCAGCTGTGAGCGCGTGATAGAGCTTTATGCTGTTGTGCATTCTAGGTGTATCGCTGATGCCCCCCTTTGAGCTGAGAACAGGACTTAATGCATCTTCCTGGTTCTTCGTTGAGATGCCAGCCCAGCTGCATTGTGAGGATGCTTGGTGGCTCAGCCACTGCCTCAAAAAAGCCCAGCTTCCAGGATATCATGTCACATTGCCTGTGCCAGGACAGTGCGCTGTTTGCAGGTTGCCTCTGACCACCACCTGCGAGCAGCACAGAGCAAAGGCATCAGTCAGGCCATGGTCATGGTCATGGGCCTGCGAGTAGCAGTGCAGGATGCACGCAGATTGCCAGGGCCAGGAGCCTGCTTACTGCTCAGCCAGCCTTGCTTGCAGCAAGACATGTTCTAAGTGGAGCTCCAGCTGGCTGCATTGCTTGATATCCTTCTTGGTGAGGAGGACACATACCTGTTCCCAACATGGAAAAAAATGTGCAGAGCTCGCCCATCCTTTATGGGGACAGTAACTAATGCAAGAGTGCCGTCTGAGTAGTGAGTAGAATTGCTGTGGTCACTTGGAAAATGGTAGGCACCAACACCAAGTGGTCCATTGCCAGTCAGTTTTGGATAGGCGCTTGTCTGCTGGCACAGCGATTCCGAGCTGTCACCTGCTGTCCAGAAGGTTCTTCATCCGTGCTGCCTGTAGGCAGTCATTGTGCAGGAGGCCAGGCAGTCACTGTAGGTAGTCATTGTGCAGGCTTTTCAGATGCTTGTTTCCCTGGGGGCTCTCAGCAAGACTTAATGTCTGTCTGCTGCCTACCCTGTCCTGATCTGAGCTCTGCATCAAGAACATGTGATATTCTCTGTCGTGCAGCAGGAGGTTCTGGATAACCATGAATATTTTTGTTACGGTTGGTTGAGTAGAAGTTTCTCCCAACTCTTCCCTGTCCATGTTCACGTAAACAAATGAGTGCACCTTCACTGAGGCTGTCATGGTCAATATAGCTACTGTATTATTGTATGCCTGTTTGAGCTTGGCTTGTGAAGTCATTTAGCGGCAGTTTTCACCACTGCTAGTACCTGTTTAATTTCTGAGGAGATAGTGAATAGGAATGAAATTTGCACCAAGAAGTAGTTGTTTGAGCAAAAATATTAAATACACTGTACCTGTTCAGTGCTCTGCTTTGTATGGTCAGTGCATTTATGCTGCATTAGTAGGCATCCTGTGACAGTTCACTGTCATATGGGGGCTGTGATTCTGTGCTCATGGAGCTGAGAAGTATTTTGTTGGACAACAGCTGAGTAGTTAGATGATGACTAGTGCGCATTAGCTTTCCCGTTGTCCTTAAGTTTATTCTCTTATCTAGGTATCTGAAATCACTAGGTGGTCCTTTCAGTAATAATGTCCCAGCTTTCTTGTTAAAACTGGTCCCACGATGATAGCTCTTTCCCCAATTTTTCCTTGCCCTCTCTGAAGTGCTGCATAGTAACAAATGATTGGGATTTCAAAGACTTTTTGAGCATAGCCCATCACTGCTGGTCTGCTTCCCTCAGGTCAGAGAGGCAGGCTAGACATCTGAACGTAGACTTAAGATCAGGCAGCTGACACCCAAGCTGCTGTTGTTGAGCTCTAGACAGATGTCAAATTTCAGTCCCACTATGTTAAAGGCCTTCAATGTGAGCAACTGCCCTTTTCGGTAGATAGAATTACTGTGTTCTTTTCTTGGTCTGCAGTGTGCAAACCACACTGGTCAGCAGTCAAAGACAGGGTGGTGATACCTGTCCCAAACCTCCTGCTTCTTTTAAAGGTGGCAGTGGGACAGTAAGCAGGAAAGGTACATAGCTTTGAGGTGGCTAGGTGGTAATGTTGTCAGCATAGTTGAAGAATATTTTTTAATTAATTTTATAAAATGGAATAATTGGGCTTGTCCTTTCTGTAGACCACAGAAGAAGCATGGAAATACTTCCTGAATAAAGATAGGCTTTCTGCTATGAAGCTTGGGATATGTTTTTAAAAAGTTTCAGGCTAACAAATGTTTCTTTGTGATTTCTAATCATGCCCTCTTCGCCGCCCCCCCCCCCCCCCTTTTTTTTTTTTTTAACAGGGTTCTTGGGGTTCTGGAAAGGATCAGTATAGCAAGGAACTGCTTGTGTCCTCCATTTTTGCAGCAGCTAGTCGCAAGCGGAAAAAAACAAAAGAGAAACCACAACCAAGCAGCTCAGAGGATGAGTTGGATAATGTGTTTTTCAAGAAGGAGCTTGCAGAACAATCTCGTGGTGACACAACAAAAGAGGACATAGCTAAAGGGGAATATGAGAGAGAGAGAGACATAGGGAGAAAACAGAGGATGTTTGTCCTGAAGGAAAAAGAGAACAGCAGTAAAAAAGATGTGAATGTTGTAAAGGATGAAAAGAAGACATTAAAGAAAGAAAGTACCCTGTCAGAGGAACCTTCACTGCCTTACCATGACAAATGTACAATATCACCGAATCTCAGCTGTCTGCAAACCACGCAGAAGAATAACCCAAAAATGCCTATTTCACAATCTTCTTCCCAGGTTGAGGAGACAGTGTCTGACTCTGGCACTATGCTTAGCACTTCCTCCCAGGCTTCCCAGCACAGATACTCAAGCAAAAAAGTAGCCAGCCCTGAAATTAAACACAATGAGTTTTTAGCAGCTGACGTCAGTTCCATCACCTCAGATTATTCAACTACTTCATCTACCATATATCTAACTGGCTTAGATGCCAGTATGCTGAGCCCTGAGGTGCAGTCAGTGACAGAAAGCAAGGGCGAAGATGCTGATGATGAAAGAAGTGAATTGATCAGTGAAGGGCGTCCTGTGGAGACGGACAGTGAAAGTGACTTCCCTGTCTTTGCCACCAGTGCTGCTGCTGAAAGGCTGGCCAAGGGGAAAGTTTCAGAAGTGGTAAAGACCAGTCGGAGGAACTCTGAAGAAAGCGAAATAAGTTGTACTGAGGGAAGTTCAACACCAAAGTTAGAGAGTCGCAGACTTTTTAGCTCACACAAGCTTATTGAATGTGATACACTGTCTAGGAGAAAGTCCGCACGGCACAAAACGGACAGTGAGGGTTCAGGGGATGCAAAGAGTGAGAAGGACTTGCCTACTGTGACCAAAATGTTTGACATAATGAAAAAAGGAAGATCGACAAGCAGTTTAGCTACATCAGCCAGAAGTGAGGCTGACAAACAAGAACCTACCTGGAGACTTAAGATTACAGATAGGTTAAAGCTGCGACTCAAATCATCTGCAGATGACATGTTTGGAGTTGGGAATCAAAAAGCTAACTCTGCAGAGACTACAAAGAGAAAAAATATCAGGCGAAGGCATACGCTTGGAGGACAGAGGGATTTTGCTGAAATAAGTGTCCTGAATGCTTGGAAAGCTCAAGAGCCAAGTCAAAGTAGAGAGAGAGAATCTGAGCTTTCAGCTGTGAATCGGTTGAAGCCAAAATGCCCAGCGCAGGACCTCTCCATCTCAGACTGGCTTGCACGAGAACGTTTACGCACTAGCACAACTGACCTTAATACGGGTGAAACTGGAAAGCCCAGACTTGAGAACACTAGCTTAGCAGATGTATCAAAGGTAGATCTGCCTTTATCTGCGGAGATGCAAGCAGATGAAGGCAGTTCTTCCAGCAGCTTGACTTTAATTAATAGAACACCACCTTTGGGACCATTTCAGCCACCAGACCAGGTAAATGGTGAAAATTATCAGAATATGAACAAAAACAACTTCAGCCCAGCAGTTGATGCCCATCCTCATAAACTGTCTGGGACCCAAGTGGTTAGATCTCGATTCTACCAGTATCTTTGAAAAGGGGAGATATGTCCACTACAGCAATTCATTAACTTACTGTTACACTTCCCAGTAACTGTGTGTATGTGTGTGTGTACATATATATATATTTTCCTGTTGTTGTTATGCAGCCTTCATTTGGGCTGGTTTCACCAATATGCTCTGTGGAACGTCTTCACAGGGCATTACCACAGCCAGAAGAACACTAAAGTTAAAGTATATATATATATATTTTAAGAAAAAGTATATTTGATGGCTGCATACAAACGTTGAACAAAGCATCTGATGCAACATGCTGTGTAGTGTATACATGGTTTTCTGACTGAGAGTTGGCCTGGCATTAGTATGCAGAAAAATTGTTCTTTTGGTTTAGTCACTAACAAGTGCCTCATCATAAATTCATTTGGTTTGTTAGGGTGCCATATTGTTAAATTAGAGAAACTTATTACAAACAAATGAATGCATTTTACTGTTAACAAGTTTCATTACATTTTACAAATGTTAACACAGGTGGCTACAGAGCTTCCATTCCTTAGGCATTCCAGTAAATATTGGAGTTTTATATTTCCAATTTTAATACAGATTTTGAGTTTTATGTGACTTGAATTTTTAATCTTTCTGTAAAATAAATAACTTAAATGTACATATTACGTGTATCTTTTCTTCAGATACCAGATTTGATATAAATGTTGTAACATAGGCGTGTAGATAGTGGATACTGGATGGAACTGGTTTCTTTTATTGAGAATATAATTCTGCATGAAGACCTAATGAATCCAAACTTGTATCATGCCTGTGTGCATACCCACTTAAACACTGGAAATAAAGCTGTTTTGGTGACTCTTTGCGTGATGCGGATTCATTCTAATGAACAGTTTTAAAATGTCATGTTTACAAATTGCAGTCGGCAGCTGCCCTCAGGATCACAAAACCTGCAGTTGCTCCTGGATGAAGGGCGCTTCTCTTTGAAGTCTTGCTTGTGGGACAAGACCGTGCAGGTTAGCGTATGAGAGAGGGAGGGGTTCAGCTGGTTCGATATTTTCATCTTGATATATAGTCTGATTCTGAGGTATGTAGCAAGTTCGTTTATGTTTCATATGCTGGTTTTGTAGCACTGGAAAAAAACATGTCCATAATCGTCCCCAAGTCATAAAGAGTGAATACCAGTATCTGCCAGTCAAAACATTACTGTAGCATGGGTCTTGGACTTTTTATAGTTTTAACTATGAAGATGAGTTTGTACACTGAAAACCCTTCTGTTTGTGAAGTGTCTACCTGTTACATTTTTTTCTTCTATTTTCTTGCGTACCTACTTGAAAACGAAGCAGCTGCTCATCACTTTGGGTATTCCCAGGTCATACACTGTCACTTGCTGGGCAGAGGATTAAACCTGTATCAGTAATAAATAAGCAATGAACATCATGAGCATAGAAAAATTTACTCTTACGCAGGTGTCCTGTTACTGAGAAGAGAAGGAATTACAGTAATGGGAATGTGTAGGGTGGTGTGATTGCAAGCAGACTTCGTTTCTTTCCAAAGTGACTGTAACAGTCCCATGCTTTGATCTGCTGTGGTTTTGACCCTTGTGAGAAATAGTTATAAAAATTGGCTGTCAAGAAAAGCATCAGATATGACAGCTGAAGATTGGTGGAAGTTCTTGCCACATAATTGTGTGCATCTAGTACCAATTCACATAAAAATGAATCATGTTCTTGTGGTCTCCTTGCAAACTAAAAGGCCTTTTTCCCCCACAGCGAACAGAAAGCTGGTGCTTTAGCAGCATTTCTGTGTGCCGTGTGAGGAAGAATGAGTATGTTCTGTGAAACACAGAGTAATTGGTGATGATTTTTGTTTCCGTCCTAATAGTAAAGTGTATTTGAACAAGAGACTTCAAAATACGGTGTTCTGATGCCTCTGTAATGCTATTCATCAGCAAATACCCATCATCTCTTACTGGAGGCATGTTTTGTCCCATCATTAGCCTCAGAAGCTTGTTAGAGTGTGGTGAGCATCCGCAGTAAGTCGCGGGAGTCTTCTCGATGAAGCAGTATACTTATGGAGGTACATAAGGGGCCCTGGGGGTCTGTGTCTTACTCTGATTTGACGGCCATTTTGATTGATCAAGTTAACTTTCATTGTTTTGTGTTCATAGATAACTAATGATTTTAACTCCTGAGTCTAGATGTAATTCTATTGTATTGACTGGAATAGAGCACAAGATGTTTTGAAAAATTAGGAATAGGAAGTGTAAAAAAACCAACCAACCAAACAAAAAGAAAACCCCAAAACCACCAAAAAACCCAAAAACAAACCCCAAACCACCACAACAGAGGAGTTATATTGGCTGACAATGCTACAGGTACAAATTAAGGCCTCGGCAGCCTCCGTGGTACCTTCTCCTGCTGCACTGGCTGCGCGGGAGCCGCAGAGCAGCTGCGGAGGGAGCTGGGACAGAAGTCGGGGATATCCGGGGGGTGGGGGTGTAGGAGGAGGAGGATGGCAGCTCGGCCACCACTGCCTTGCCCTTTCCGTGTAAACCAGGTCTTGGAGGAGATAACCTGGCAGGCCGAGGGGGAGGGAGGGGAGCTCCGGGGAAGCGCTTGCTGTGAAGGGGAGCTGCAGGGAGCGTCTGTCGGGTGCGTCAGGGGAGGCGGTTGCTGAGCTCTGCCTGAAGAAAGGACGTGGCAGCGTATCTGAGGCTGGGGAAACACTCGGGCTTTTTCTGCTCTTTGGAGACTGCCAAGATTGGGGGCTACCTACTTTAAATCCCAGCCACTGTGGCAATTGAGATGACAGCCAGTTTTAGGAGCCATTGCTATGCCCTCTTCTTAGCTACTTCAGACCCTTACCTGTGTGCTCTTTTTTTTTTTTTTTCCAGTTTGTTTTGTTTTTTTCCCCCCTCCTGCTCTGGAAGAGAAGGGTGACCCTGATTGACACGGGAAGGGAACTGTGTGTGATAACGTGCCCTGAGGTGAATGCTGTCAGCGCCAGTATTTCCTCTGGGAGCTGGGTTCGCAGGGTGGGCAGCTCCACCTCCACGGGGTGGCAGAGCCGCGGAGGTGGGCAGGGACCTCTGGGGACGGCCTGGCCCTGCCCCGGCTCAGGCAGGCGCAGCCGGAGGCGGTTGCTTGTGGCCGGGGCTGCTCGAGTTTTGAGCATCTCCAAGGATGGAGACGCCACAACCTCCCTGGGCAACCTGTGACAGCGTTTGATCACACTTAGAGCAAAAAGGGCTTTTTTTTGTAAGGTATTTCAGTTTGTCCCTATTTTTTGTTTTTATCCTCGTCATCATCATCAGGATTCAAACTGGCTTGGAAAGTACTTTTGGTCTGAGGACTGCTGGAGCTGTGTAGCTGCAAGTTGTTAGGAACAGGTCTAAGCTGAGATCTCATGGGGAAGTAACAAAAGGATCAACTGTGGTGGTAGTAATAGCATTTTGATTTTTAAAATGGTTCCAAACAGTGGTTCCTGTTTCAGTGGGGATCAGTGGTTTAGTCTGAAATCATTTTTCTGGGATCTGGTAGCAGTCATACAGCACCTTCCAGCTTTTTAAGCCTCTCTGAAGGGCTTGTTCTGGTCCCCGTTGGTATCGCTTACGGCACTGATAACGGAATGAAGACACGGCCGCAGTCCAGGCAGTTTCTGAGCTGCGCATCGGGGTCTCTTCCTGTCTGCAGCAATCTTAGGAGAACCTCTCTCCGCTTTGTCCAGGCAGGAGGAAAGAGAGCGAACTGTGGCCTTACCTGCTATAAGAAGCTGCGTTCTTCGTTTTAAAGCCAGGCCATTACACCATCCCCATTTAGATAACAATCGAGCCATTAATTGTGCCAGCCTGCGGAAAGAAGGGTGTAGTTTGATACATGGCTGGGAGGGCGAAGGACTTAAAACAGACCTGCCATCGTGAAAGCGGTGCATGTACCTGTGGCTCCCAGTCATGAGACCGTAAAAATCTGCCTTAATCATCTGTTAACAAACCGTCTGCCAAAATCGCTAAATTTTTAAGCCTGCAGGAAGAGCTGCCCCTTAGCGGGGATGAGATGGCTTTTTATGGCCCTATACGTTCCTAGGCAGAAATGTCCTGCACGCCCCTCCTCTCCCCTGCCCTACACATCCCTTTCTGCTCTGCCTGCCCACCAGCGGGGCCTGCCTGCCGCAGGGGCTGGGTGCCGTGTTGCTTCGTTTTTGCTGCAGTTCCCGCAGGTACGGTCAGCTGGCGCACAGGGATGCCGCTTGCTCTGCTGAGAAGTCCTGGGCTGGCTCGGACTACAACAGGCAGCACGAAGGTCCCGCTCACCTTCCAACTCCTTCCACCTCCAAAGGGAGCGGTGAACAGCTTCAGTTTGGATTTTTCAGATCAGTGAGGTCCCATTGCATCCGAACCCACGGGATCGCTGCAAACTAAAGAAACTGGATGGCTGCTCACAGAAGAGACTTGTGCTGCAAACGCAACTGCTGGCAGGCGCGGTACCCTGGAGATGTGGTACCCTGGAGATGATGCGGTACCCTGCTGGGTTATCTTTTTCTGAAGAGCCTCTGTTGTCTTTAAACTGCCCAAGAGCTGGTGAGAGCTTGATCTGGAATTGTGCGTGCCAGAGCGCCCTGGCGACAGCAAGGAGGATGGGCTGCTTGTCTGCACATTGGCTTTCGGAACACCAGCTGGCTGTGGGAGCGCAGCGCCTTGCCTGCTGGGGCTGAGGCTGCTCCTGTAGCGCCAAGCCCCCTGTTGCAGGGGTGGCTGCCCAGTGCCTCTCATCCCTAACTGGCTGTGGTCACCTCCACCAAAACTGCCTCTTCCTAATTGGTTTGTGGTGAGAAACTTGGCTTTTTAATCACCAGCCTGCGCTGTCTGTGCTGAAGCAATTTATTTACAGACTTGCTGATTTTTTTCTAAATACTCTGCCCGGCGTTCAAAAGTGTTCCTGGTGCCGAGGTACAGCCTGCGTGCAGCCCTTCCCTGCCTGCGTTCGTGAAAGCCCAACAGCTTCATGGCTGTACACGTAGGACGGGGAGGGAACAAACGCTGCCTGACTCCCGACGGTCGCGGCAGCGCTCTCTGGACCGGGGGTTATCTGCTGTCCGAGACTGTGGTTTCTTTCCTGGTGGGTGCTGCACCCCAGCACTGAGGGTGACACACGGAGGTGCACAAAACGTGGCAGGTGCTGGAGGACGTGCATGTCGCAGTGCAGCTGAGGCCACGAGAGGGTGTTGCGTTCGCTCC